GTCTGCGGGAGCGCTGGTGGCTCGGCTCGGCTGGCCAGCTAGCTGCGCTCACCGGTCGGGGCAGGCAGGCGGCTGCTAGGCACGTAGTGGGTGGTTGCGTTGTTGCAAAGGTGGCCCGTAGTGGACCAAAAAGTTCAAGGCGCGGTGACAACGCTTTGCGGCCCGCCCCGTGTGAGCTCAGCGAAGCAACACGCATACGCCACTCGGCCACCCGACGCGCTGTCCTGTCAACGACCGACCGCGCACTGCATCATACTTTGTACAGTTTGTTCACTGCGATGCGCAGACAGCATGCTCAACTGCTCAACACAAAACATATTCCATGGTTTGACCACGTGCGTCAAAGGGGGTACTTCACCAAGCCTGTGGATCCACTTCACATGATGCCCATTGTTTCGAGGCCGGCTTCAATCTGGCAGCCCTGGGCCCCTGCAACTTTTCAGGCCAGAAGAGAAGGATTTTCAAAGGCAACCGCTTTACAATCCTTCCCCACCATTTCCCAACCCCACCCTGAGAAATAGCTTGAATCCAAATAGTTGTTACCTTCCATCACGTTTCCGTTCCAGTGGCTTTCTAGGACCAGCAACCCATGTATTGGACCGCCTTCCGCACCCCCAGCCCAATACATTCCTGAATCCAAACTGCCCAACTGACATCATTTGTGCAAAACGGTTCGTCCAGCAGGCCCTGAGCTTTGGTGAGTTCTGGAGCCGAAACCATCCCTTTTCAAATCAACCCCCGGGGAGTTTTGAGGGGCCGTATTGAGGATCCCTATACTTCATTTTTTCTTGAAGGCCCTATTGTTAACCGAGGGCCAACACTAAAACAGGCCCCACATTAAACGAAACGCCTACCCTTCCAGTGGTTGTAAAGTCCGTTAAAGTCCTCATTGTGCTCATCGATTTTTTTCCCCCCCCGCACCTTTTGGCGTCTGCCTGGTCTGTCCGCCACCATGACCAAGCCTGCCAGACTCGGCCCTGCCCGTCAACAGACCCCGCAGTCAATCACGGGTTCCTCAGCCACCGCGCCTTTAAGGACATCCCCCAATAGCATTTCTGCGCGTCGGACGTGTCGACGCGCATGGCCGGCAGTTCCAGCAGCATGTTGGCATGCGCCCGCAGGCTGGCGAAGGACGCGATTGCCGTCCGCCTTTTGAGCAAGGCCAGCCTGGTGACCTCCGCCGCCCATAGCCCGATGGCGCCAACGAGCACGCAGACTTGCAGACCATTTTGGCCTGAGCCCAGTGGACGGTTCGGCTGGACCAGTGTCCGCTCAAAAGGTGCCTTGGGACCAATGGTCGCGGCTTCCTTCGATCACTCCTATACAACAGGACACAATGTAGCAAAGAACACGAAATCCACCGGTATAACGTTTTCGATAATTTTTTGCAAGAAAAAATCAAACCTGCATGCCGCTAAACAACCCCTGAGGGAGCGCAAGCAGATAGCGCCCAGAAGAAAAAAACATTCTGAAGCAAGGAAGAAACACAAGTGCATGTGGTGGCACAATTGCAAGCATTTGCAACAAAACAACTGCACGCGCCCATGTGTCTCGCCCAAAACTATCTGACCTGAACAAACCTGAGCATTCCTTTTTAAGCATCATCCGCCCCCTCGCCCGTGTGTTGAAACGAGCGCCGGACAGCCTCGGTATGGCGTGGGGAAATGAGTAACTCAACCCTCTCATGGCTCACAAAAAGTTCAAAAAGGCGACAACTACAGTAACACCTTCTGAAGGCTTCTGAATAAATGGTCTAATGCACGTGCTGAGCCCCTGCACGTGCATGAGACCCATTTATCAGCATACACAGTTCGAATAATTTCATACACGCTTCTTGTGGAAACAAAACCGCTGCAAAAATGCGTCCCACCAAAAGAAGCACTGATATGGTTCCCACCACCAGGAGGGATCCACATGTTCTCCAGTGGCATGTTGCTAGTCCGGTAAACTTTGGCAAGGCATGACGAGCAGGACGCGAAGTAATGGCAGGAGCCGGAGCAACGGGACGAAGAATAGGAGCTCGGATAAGAGCCATGCTGCGAAATTCATGTACCATGATATCTGTCACAATGGCAGCAGAAGCAAGTGTAAGCCTAGTAGCCGTCGGAATACTAGCTGCCGTCCCAAAAATGAGCGTCGCGGCGTCGGCATCGGCGTCGTCGTCCAAATCCTCCTCCTCGTCGTTGTCGTTTTGTTGCAGTCGCTCTCGCTCTCGTTGTCATCGTCCGTGTGCTGGCGGCGGTGGTAGTAGTAGAGCAGCGACGGCAGGGAAAACGATTGACATCAAACTCAATGCAGTTCAAAAAACAGCTGCGTGCACTTCGGAACTTGGCATATCCAGGCAACGTGCGGCAATGTCCACCAAACCATCCATCAATCAATCAATCAATCAATCAATCAATCGCATGTGTTTTATTTCGCCGTAGAACCCTTCCGTCATGGCCGGATTTGAACTGACCATGATTGTTGCGAGGATTCTGGGCCTGTACTGTAAAACGGCAGGGTTGTTGTCAGGCAGATGGCGCACACCATGTGCCTGAATGGGGGTCACTCTGTGAAGAGGATGCTTGGTCCCGACCCCAACTCTGTAGCAATCGAAATTGTTGAGCCGGTCCAAGTTTTCGTACTGCTTTGAGAACGGCCCCGCTCTGCGAACAGAGGCGCCAATCGCATTCTGAAGCGTTGCCGGCGTTCGTTCCAGAGTCTCCGGGCTCAGCACCAATAGCACGCAACTACAGACTTGAGGCATGCAGGTACGCGCACACATGCAGAAGAGGTTTGACAACTGCACTACAACTGCGGCACAAGCATGTCATGGCGGCCCGCATGTCGCTTCGCGTAGCATGGCACGTGCCCACATCCAACTTGCACTGGTTGTCGACATGCACCCCTGAAACGCAGCAACCGTCTCTGCTCTGAAACGAGTCATCTGTAATGCACGATCGCCGGGGAGCCTGACATGAAAAATGGTCTTCAAACCAAGAAATTGGTACCGGAGTATCGCTCTGCTTGACTTTTTGACAATAATAATATCACGTGTTAATGTTGCGTCAAAATGCAACCGCGAATTTAAATTCAACGTCTGAGCCAAATTCCAAAACAGCAGGCACCAAAGCAAAAAGTGAATTGGCAACAGCACTGTCTTGTCTACGTCCAGGTGGGCAGTCAGAACAACTTTTTAGGACCGCTGTAGTACGGTCACAATCTGAAAGGACAAATGACAGCATGGAATGTCTTGGCCAAAATACAAAAATACTGCTCACGCATTGAGACAATGCAATATGATCGTTGGTAATATGTCACTTGCCTCTGAGGAATCTCGGCCCCCTGAAGCATAAATCATGCCGATTCGGTCAAAGCAGACGTGCAACGCAGCAAAAACGGGCTAGTCAGTCCGCAACTTGGAAGAGTATGGACACCTTTGCTGAGCTTTGTCGTTGACAAGTTGCGGCTTTCCTGCCTGCTGTTTCGTCAGCTGCGCTGCTCGTTGGAATACATCTGGTCCTGGTGCTACAGGTTGCAGTCCTGGTGGTGGTGCAGGTTGCGGTCCCAGCGGTGGCAGTTGTTGCAGAAAATCTTGAGTCGCAGCTTCTTCCCAGGCTGGCTGAGGATACCTTGTGAGGGAGTCCTAGCGCTCCTAGGTACCCGTAAGCATAGCCCATATACCCGTTATAGTGGAAGGAAAGGCTAGTGTTACGGTTAATTACTTGGGAGGGATGATTAGGGCTGAGGAGGCTCTGAGAGTTTGGGTGCATATTGGGGAGGCTCATGGGAGTCCTATGATATTTTTTGAATGATTTAGGGTTTAGGCTTGCTGAAGCAATGTTGGACAGAGATCATGTTCGGTCTGTACTGGGTTCACGCAAACATGGAAACTTGCATACCAACCCAGAGACTCCGTGGATGTAGCGGTTCCCTTGAGGACGTCGCTCCCTGAGCGCATGAAAGCCAGGAACTGCCATGGAGCACGCACCGAGTACCGAACATGTGCAATCGCCTGCTGTTAAGGTCCCCCCTCCAGGATCCTGTACGGATGATTCCGAGAAATTCTCAATTAGGTTTAGGGTTTAGAGTTTAGTGAAGGCAAGCGTCAGAACTGCATGGACGACGAAGAAAGAGAGTCTGACCTGAGATCAGCTGGCTACATATGTCATACCACTCAAGCAAACGCAACTCCTTTTGCGAATGAAGGTAAGATAAGATTCCCCCTCCCCACAAGGGTCTCATTCGGGTCCATCTTTGGGGGCGGAGAGGTAGCGAGAGGTTGTGTGTTAAAAGCAAACCTATATGAGCCACTGTCTAAACTCCTAGTATCCCCCTTAATATCCCCTATAGTAGTCCCCTATATAATCCCCTATATAAATAATAGTCCCCTATATAATCCCCTATATAAATAGTAGCCCCCTGTATAATCCCCTATATAAATAGTAGTCCCCTATATAATCCCTTATATAACCCCCTTTTAAGGAGTTTAGACTATGGCTCATATAGTCTCCGCACATGTTCATGATGGCAAAAAGAGCAGACTAAGGATCATTAGCCGCAAAGCTTCGATCCAAAGAACGAATCACCCGATGAGCCGGCCCCCACTGAGAGTAATCCCTAAACCCTAAACC